AATTACACATGGATAAGTCAAAAATATGCGCAGGTCAACTTCAAATTTGATCATGGTTCGATGATTCTTGCCAGAATAATGCGCCTTGAACTTTGAAAACAAAGGAAATTTTCCATTTCCGCACTCTAACTTTTGGAGGGTTAATGTATGTATAAGGTTGAAATATTGCATGTATGTTACCCCAAAATACAAGTCAAGTTCACAGTTTTTGACAATTATTCCCCATGAACTTATTAAAATATTTCTTATCATTTTCTCGGTTACAAATGTGCATTATATAAATGGAAGTTTTCATCTATTATGATAGCAATAATTGCACACTTTTGAAAACTGTTTACGCATATATAAAATTACACGTCTGTCACTCAAAGACATTTACACGTATTTTCATATCGTCTGCCAAAGTGCAAGAAGTAAATCAAAATTAAAATTTACCTACCATCGTTCTGACAGTTGAAGTAGATCTACAGAATGGACCACTGTGTGATTATTTTTTGACAGTGCAGATACAGATACTTGCAAGTACAAATGTTGCTGCAAAGCTCCGCGCCAAAAATTGCGCTCATTATAAATACCTTGCAAAACCATTCCTACGCACAGGTCATTTTCTATTTAGATAACTAGTGTACATTATTCTGGATGTTTTGTTAGTCATTTAAATTTGCATAATTATACTTATCGTATGCACTGTCTATGAGAGAGGGACCAGATATTAAAAATATTAATATGCTTTCACTAATGCCTATCTGGTAAGGAAGGAATTCCAATATAAACATGACTTGTATTGTGACATAACAGTAGGGCAACATTGTTCTCCTAGTGTCACTTATCAGGTCTCAAATATCAGAGTACGTACATTTTCTTTTCTCTTGAATAAGTTTTTCTACAAATAACAACAACTAATAACTAAAACTACTTCTGTAAATAGATTTTCGGATTTTCACAATGTTAAGGTCATCTATTGATAGCTTTTGGATTCATGTAACCAGTCTTGCGCAGAAGGAAGAAATGTTTGGTTCCGAATTTATTTTAACCTGTCAATCAAAGGGATTATTCAAAATCGAAATCGGTTCCAAGGATAAAAATAAATTGTAGACCCAAAAAGCTGAATGAGGAAGGCCGAGTTTTAAGGTGTCCCTATTTTCCTTGAAAAACTATCTCAAATCAGCAGAAAAACACTTGATTATGAAAAATATGAATATGAATTCAAAAATAAACAATCAATTTGCTATTTTTGAATAAATAATAAGAATATTTATGACAATTTTTTATTTCAGATATTATGAACAAAAACCCAAGAGGGATTCAAACTCTTGCCCTGACTAGTCCAATACTCAAACCACCTAGCTTTTGTAATAGTTGACCAAACATCTTTACAAAACAATTTATCAAAACTATTTAATTGGTTGACGCAGTTTTAAGAAACTTTAAACATCGATGTATAAAGCCACGATAAAAATGTTAAGATTAAATAATTCAAGGGCGCCTTTAACTTAGAAAAATAAAAATTTGTTCAAACAAATGTATTTATAAATGTAATTAAAACATTAGAATTCTGCCTGTATGAGGGGGGGGGCATCCGTAGCATAAGGACACATTTCTAGTTTTTTTGTCATCAATGCCCAAACTTGTATGTAGATAATTGTTGCTGAAAATACTTGACCAACTTAATGACAAACTCTGGCCATCCCGTTTTTTTATTTGATAACAACTGATGTAAGGTATGTATATAATAAACCTGATAAAACACTGGCTATATATAGTTTCATGTGACTTTCGAAACATTGCAAAATAATCTCACAAGGTTTGTAAAATCGACATTTTATACCTGCCCTATACAAATATAGATAACGGCACTGATAGCGTCATGTGATAATTATAATGTTTGACACATATGCAGACAATTTAAAGATAAAATTGTAGGAGGACCATCCCTCTTCAGTTTTTGGATTATTTAAAAGGGTATTGTTTTTTTCATTTTCCCATTTTTATTGTTGTTCTTGCCAATACTTTTAAACATTTACTCTTCATTTCGTTTTAGTCCGAAAAGGAATATCTCCAAATTTAAATATTTTAGATAAAATTTGTGTATAGGCTTATTATCAACTCGCATCTTTTCACTTTAATAGTTAGCGTACTTAAGACAACCTCGAAAATAAATCAAAAAGAGAGAAATAGCAATTGTAGACGAAATAGATAAAATACATAAACGATAATAATACTTTGTTATTTGCAAAAGAGATATCCCAATGACCTTGACAATATTGCTGCCTGAAAGGGCGGCAGAGCAACAAGAAATCACTTACACAGGCCCGACAATAAATTTGGCATGCATTTAAACGCTACCATTATAACATACTTGAATATGTTCCAACAGGATAACATCTATACAACTACAAATTTTACAGTGTCCATACTTTTTTTCCTAATTTTAACAAAACACAAACATTTCCTTTCCTTAATTTGAGATGTTTTGGAGTAAGAAGAAATCCTATTCTAATGAGGAAGATATCAGTTTCATAATGGCGTTAAATGATATTTTAAAATGCTTTTTATGACAGTAACTACTGCATTCGGATTACATATGTGTACTCCTTCTAGAATTATTCAAGTTCGCCTTCAATTAACAATTTCTCCTTGTCGCCATTGTAATAGGCCCTTCTCAAATTATATGCATGCTTTACATTCCATCACCAGAGAGAGGCTAACAGGGCATGAATGTAAACAAGTAATGTCTGACCTGATAATCCCTAGTGCGTTTAACTTGCTGGAGAAATCTCATTTTTATTCCACTCTGTTATTCCAATTCTAGATATGATTATACCGTTAATTTTCATAAAATACCTAAGGATGTGAGTTTAATAAAGGAAAGGAATTGTGAAAATAAGATGGATGAAAGAACATTTCAGGTAAATAATACCATTTTTCATTCTTTTTAAACCAAACTACTTAAGATGTATTTCTGCTTACATTAATTACTCTGATTTCTCATTGATTTAAATATTTTATTAAATTATAAACATAATTATATGTTTTGTTCCTAAATTTCATTTAAAATATCCCACTTATAATGATAACATTTAAAACATTATTGCTTCAGAATCTTAATCAATACCGTTTTTATACTAAAAAGCAATAACGGTTATTTTATGTACTATTTCAGATCAATATTTTGCAATAGTTGCTCATTTTGAAGCATTTGACACAATAAGTTTAACAATCATGGACATAAATTCATATATGTCTGAAGAGAATAGATGTACCCTGTAGATGGTTCGACTGGAGTAATAATCAACAGACCAGTAAGATGAACACTAAAGAAGAAGGTTTCATTTCCAGATGAAAGGTATACACAAGACTTAATTTTCATTTTTTACACATGAACAAAGTTCAGCCCCTTTAAAAAATATATGTGCAATTAAAATGTAAATTGATATATTCTAGAAATGTCATAATTCTTGTTTCCACTTCTAAATAAAATGTATATATTTTTTCAGGAATTCCATTGGTAACAGTCCTGAACACAAATTGACAACTGGTATTTGAATCGCCTTAAATTGTAATATCTCTTCATGGCAGTGGCATAACAGATGAAAAAGAAAATATCAAACATTTCAAAGAAGAATTACAGAAAACTTAGGAAGAAAGCAAAGAGTGATATTAAACGTTTGAGACAAACATATTTTCAAATGTTGACAGTTGTATATTTTGTAATGTTATACAGGAATTCCAACAGTATTTACTATAAATTCATTACAGTTTTCAAACAGTATAGTAGTAAAGTATAAATTAAAGAACAATATAAATTTGCAAAGATTAGAGTAGTATTATTTAGTATAAAATACAAAATGTAGAAGACAGTACAATGTTGAAGTATATACAATATATTATAGTCAAATAGCTCAGTTAAACAAAAGTATAGTATTTTAACAATGTAATTAAATATAGATAGCACTCATAATAACTAATAAGTGAATGGCTTGATTATGTACACAATTATCAAAGTATATATAAAACATCAGCAAAAACATTGAGAGTGTTTATTATGATGCAGGCAAAACAATCAGCTTGACTGACGAAATGTTTTGAAGTATATTTAAAGGACCATTTGTTCAGTCTTTTGCGCCTTGAATTTCAATAAAAACTTAAAAAGAAATCATCGCATTACTTTGTTTTTAACATTGTGCTTTGTTACATATATGGTACAGCTGCAGGGAAATAATGTCAACATGTTAATATTTTGTCCTCTTATTGCATTATATTGTTGAGAGAATATTTCTTGGAATGTTAAAAGAAGTGCTAAAACCTTGATGCTGCCTTTCCTAATACCCTCCTACTGCAAGTTTCCTGCCCACAGGTTTTCTGCAAATGTTCATAGGAATATTTGGGGGTTGGTAAGTCCAGGCAACATTCTCTGGAAGTGCCGTGTTCCCCAATGATTTGTTATATACCAGCCAGTAGAGGGTTCCAACAATATGACCACATAATCAAGTCAGACCAACTGGACAAGTGCAATAATCTAGTGATACTTCAGCTTCGTATTAAGATTTGACTGATATTTGCACTTAAATGATTGTATTTCGTTATATACTATAGTGGCTTTGCTCTGTGGTGCGTTTTCAAAAATTAAAGTGTCCTCATTACAAGCAATGTCAACTGCGTTGGTTCCAACCCAATGTAGAAGAAGATAGTCTGTCGTTAGGGCATTATATTGATCAATCAAGAAAACTTTAATGTTTGTTTGATAAAAATAGTATTTTATGAAGTAATCGGTAAATAGAAAAAAAAATATTTTAAGATATTTTATTTTACATTGTTGTTGTTGTTTTATGAAGTTTATAATGCACAGAAACACATTTGTTAATTCAAACTGTGCAAAAATAAAGTATTTTAAGCCCTTATAGTTTTTAGATACGGCATAATTGGTATTAATTACACCGTTTAAAGCAATAACATATCTATATTATGTATTTTCAGCCTGGAATTCAAGTAATACTTACAACTTTGAATGGAAATTTCGCAGGATTGCTCGTCAAATGGGTATTTTTTGAAACTCATTACACAGTGTGCTTTAATATTAAACCTGAAACATTAAAAAAGACTAACTGCCACTGTCATTTCGTGATTACCCACGCATACCATTTTGTCAGAATCTATAATGGTCATTTGGAGCTCAAGGACAACCTCCCTGAGGATATTAAGTCAGTGCATTGTCAAGTTTTGTATTCTACATGTTTAGTGGCAAATATCAAAGTATCAAAGTGACCTTTACCTCTGACCTACTGACCTTAAAACTGAAACCTGGATACCTCAGCCCAAATTCATGCAGCTTTTTTGTGGAGTGTTTTATGATGAATATATGAGAACATAATTATATGCTTCAAATATGAAATGTCAAAATCTATACATTTTTCGACAGACTTTCTGAAGCATTTTAGCAGACAAGCTTATTGTAGTGCCCCTGTGTCATTGACCTTTCACAATATCACAATTCAATCATCTACTAGTCATAGACAACCTCAATACCAAATTTAAAGATTATTGACCATAGCATTCTTAAGCAAGTGAGCGGACAAATGTTTTCAGCTAAAGGCCACTTCAACCTTGACCTTAGACCCAGTGACCACAAAATCAAAAGGACTCATGTATTAGTCATAACCAACCTCAATACTAAATATGTAGACTGTTGAACAATGCATTTTTTTAGAAAATTAAAACTGACAAGCTTTTTTAAAATTTAAAAGTTTTTGTGCCCTTGCCCTTTGGGACTTCATAACCCAATAGGGTTTCACCTCATGGCCCTTTATAAACCTCCAGGGAAAATATAAAGGGCTGTGGGGCAGGGGGGAATGTTTTAAAGTTTTTGGGGGTTGACACAATTTTTTAAGTAAAAGGCCCCTGTGGCATTTACCTTTAACCCATTTGGTCATCTAATAATAATGACTAATCTTCATGCCGAGTATGAAGACTGTGGGTCAAAGGATTCTAAAGATATTTGGGGGGGGAGGACAATCATTTTAGCCAAGGTCCTTCTTTCTTTATTATTTGATCTAGTGACCTCAACATCAAAACGGGTCATCTACTAGTCATAGCCGACCTCATACCAAATATGAAGACTGTTGACCAAATCATTCTTGAGCATTCTTTTTTTGTCTTTATTTTTTCTGTCTGGATATTTTTGACTATGACTTTTCGTTTATTTGCCATGTCATTGCCACAGAAGTTCACTGAAACGGCAAATATTTTTTATATATTCTAGTTCTTATTATTGTCCTGAAACATGTGTTTGTAGTGTCCTTGACTATGACGCTAAGAACACAAAAGTTATAACGTGAAATTGCTTAACACAAGGTTCTGTTTCGACTGGAAACTTTTTCTTCTATTCTTAGATCAGTCACCTTGCCATAGGAGCCCATCACGATCTCGTTTCATTTAGGTTTTTTGCTCATGTCTTAATCTAGTAATTTACTGGAAACATATGATTTTTCTAAAAGAGCGTAGAACAATGTGTAAAACATTACTTAGGAGAAGAACAAGGCAGATATTTAGTTAAATGACACTATTGAATCGATGTATAAATAAGTTGACGTAAGAATTACCAATTACCATGTGTCACTATGGCAATAAATTTATGAAATAAAATCAATTCTACCTAGCGCTAGCACATAAATATGTATATAATTTGCATAATATGTTTACCTGCCACTGTAGAATACGTCTCCATTTTTATGGATGAATGCCAACTGATTGCTTGTTAATAGCCCATGCAATAGTGAATTTCGTTCTTCTATAAAGTATAGGTCTGGTATCCAAAGGCTATTAACTATATCATCTCCCAATGGAATAATATCATATGTGGTTTTGTTTTCAGTAAAATCTAACCGTCTGTCAGTCCAATTCATTCGAAGATAAAGTGAAAACTCAATTTCCTTATAAAATAAAAGCATGCATAAGTTCTTTATGACCTTTCTTCCTGATAAATGCATCGTTAATACATGCATAAAATTGAGTCCATACAGGATAAACATGATATATGGTGAACTTCAACCCCCACATACTTAAAACTTAACCCGTATACAAAACTGAATGAAGAGTAAATTTAATCGATGATTTCGGATGTATTGAAATTCAGTTGTATTTATAACTGTCCTTTTCATATTTTTAAATTTAAAAATATTTTGTATATCAATCAATATATGAAACTGCTGTTTCAAATGTATTCTTATTAAAAATAAAAAAAATTCACCCTGTCCTTGTCACTTTCAGAGTTTAAATCGGTGATGTCAAGTTGTACAGAAACGTGTATAATATTGTCTGTAAATAACAAACAAAAATATCATTTAGTATAATGTATATTGTTGACGTCAAATGTGTTTGCTGAAGGTGTTATATTAAAGACAAATATGAATAGAAAAAGTTTTTTCTTCAAAATTAAATATTGGGGAAATCTAATAAGGAATCGGGAGTTCGAACACTACAGAAAGTTTTTTTAACAAACCATATTGATCAAGTAACCCTTAAAATTTTTAAGGTTTAAATTAGATAAAATATAATATGTTAATATAAATCCTGTATCTGGTGGAAAAGCTATGGTCATAATTTGATTCCCGTAAAAAAGGTAAATGCGCTAATCCATAACCTGAAATTTAAATATATATATTTGGCAAGGTCAACAATCTGCTTAAAACAATTATTTGTAAATCATTTATAATTGTTTGAACATAAGGGTTTGTATATTGCCTTGATAAGGGTCTGTGAAAATGTTTATCATATTACTGGAAAAAAATCATTTTTTCTCCCCTGAACTGCACAATTTTGATTTAAAAAAACATTTTGTTTTTTTTTTTTGTTTTTTTAAAAAAATTTTTCCCCAATTTTCGTTTAATTTTAAAATAGAGTTCATTTCCCGTGGGGAAAAAAGGCCGCCCAAAGGAGGGGGGAGTTGGGGGCCCTTTTTAAAAAGGGGTTTATTTTCCCAATTTTATAAGGGGGAAATGGGTTTTCAGGGGAAAAATTTAACCCTTAATTAAATTTCAAAGTTTATCCCCCTTTCTTTTAATTTTACCCAAACCCCCCTTTAAAAAACTTTGGTTTTTTATTTTAAAATTAAAAACTTTTTAAATTTTCCCCAAAAAAATTTTACATAAAAAAGGTTCGGGCCTAGTTTTGGATCCCCTTTCCCTTCGTCCCTTTAAAATTTTTGCTTTTTTTAAAGTTTTCCAAAAATTTTTTTAACCTCCCGGTATTTTCCAAAAAATTTTTTAAAAACCCCGGAAAAAAAGAAATTTTTTTGCCGGGGAAAATAGGGTCACCCGTACACTGTCGGGTGATTTACCCTAGGGGAAAAACCCTTTTTTGGCCAATTAAAAAAAGGCCCCCTTTTTATTTTAATTTTAAAATTTTTTGGGGGATTGGGAAAACCTTTCTAAAAAGTTTAAAGGTTTCCCCCCTTATTTCATTAAACCCCGGAAAGGGGAGGGGGAAAGGGATGCAAAAAATATTTCCCTTTATTTTCGTTGCAATTTTATTTGCGGGTAATCCCCTTGATTTCCCCGGGGGGCCCCTTTTCAATAAACCGGGCCCTTTGCAAAAACGAAAAATTTTTGAAAAATTTTTAAACGTACTGTTTGAAAAATCTTTTTTTTTTTAAAAAAATTTTTTTACTTAGGGGAATTTCTAATTTTTCCTTTTCCAATTTTGGGTTTGGAAAAAAAAAATTTTAAACAAGCTAGAGCAAAACGAAAATTGATAAAAAGATGGGGGCCCGGACAATTTAGGTTTGGGGTTAACAAAAATACGCCGGGAATTTTTGTCGGGGGGCGGGATAAAAAAGAAAACTACTTGGGTCGAAAAAAGGTTTTTCCCAATTTTTTATTTTTAAAATATACTTTTTTTTTTTCTAAAATTTTTTTATTTATTTTTCCCTAAAAAATTAAAAAAGGGGGAAAATCTTGGAAAAAAAGGGTTTTTAAAAGGTTTTTTTTAAAAAAAGAAAAAAATTTTTGGGCATTGGGAAACCCAAATTTTTTTTTAACAAAACCGGGAAACAGGGACGAAAATTTTGGGGAAAGTTTTTTAGATTAATTTTAAAACCCAAAAAAGTTAAAAATTTCCCTTTTTCCTTTTTGGGAAAAAAATATTAAAAATTAAAACCTTGGGAAAATTAATTATAAACTATTAAAAAATTTTTTTCATTAAAAATTTTTGTTTTTGTATTTGTAAACAAGCATAACATATTATTTTACAATCGGAAATAGATTTTTTTTAAAAACAGTGTAAACGCCATAGAAAAGACAGGAAGCCATAGGGGTCAGCTTTATTTGTCAGCCATTGAAATACATATATTTTGTATTTAAGACAATTTAACATTTCATTAAACAAAGAAATCATCTTTATATACAAAAAAAGTGATACAAGTGCAAATTATAAATTTAGGATGAAAGTGATCCTACATTACTGAAGTGATGACAGAGATACAAATTGTTATCTACTATAGTTTCACGACTAAATTTTGCAGAAAAAAGGTGTAGGAATAAAGAAATTATAAAATGAATTATCCTTATCTCTATGGGAATGTTAGCCACTTTCAGAGCGTATTTGCCATTATTAGCACTCTTGAAAGAACATTTGTACTTTAGATGGTAGCGTTTCCTTTTGAGACAGGGCTAGTTTAAACACCTGTTTCATTTTCAAGGAGAAACAAACTGGGAGTTGATATTTTGCTGCGTGACTCTTTTCATGAAACATCTCCTATTTCAAATTTTAGATATTTTGAACGAAAACAAACTTTTTTATGGATTTTCCGAAGCAAACCATTATTAAAATAGAGTAAAATAAAAAAATGTCTAAAGAACGTTCAAAACGAGAAAATTGGAAAATTTGCAGTTCGGTAATGAAAAGTGTATGTTGTCGCCAACGCCCCATAGCACCAGTTAAAACTGTATTCAACATTTAACATTAAATACTTTAATTTGGAAATTTGATTATCTGCAGGTGTGTGCATAAGGAGCTTTTCATGGAACCTTCAATGTGACACGTTATTGCCATTCTTTGAAAAATGGCGTGTGGTCCCAAAGTAACGGAATGTGTGTGTCATTAAAAAGAAATGAGCGGAATTGAATAAAATTGAACTTCGAAAGGGCATCAGAGGTTATGAAACTTGCATATCACAGATATGCTGTCAAAAGACAAATTTTAAAAAGGAAGCCACATATCCTAAAAGTTATTCAAAGTATTCAAGTGAGGATTTATGGACCCATCCAAATAGAAGTAATAGCCGAATAGAAAAAAAATTTAAAAACCACAAGCACAAAAATAATGTGACTAAATATACGTGGCGACTTTTACGACCTCCACACGGCACAAACAACGCTGATGTGCCGTGAAATAAAGACAAATAAAATATCCCTAATGAAGGCGGAAGAAAACAACATTTAAAATGCTGCAGGCTAGGTTTGCTTGATCCTGTTTAAGGACGGTAATAGAAAGTGCATATTACTGTCCATGCTCTTGGTGCCGGCTGAAGCAGTATTCAATATTTAGCATTAAATGGTAAAAATTAACCAACTTGAAATATTGAAGTGACAGGCGAATCGAATCAAAGATTATTTGATGTTATCTCCAGTCAATGGGCAGTAGGTATGATAACTGAATTATCGTGGTTTGCATGATATCAATATACCATATTTATAACTTATCAGTAGTAATCGGGGCGTCCGTGGCCGAGTGGTTAAGGTCTTTGACTTCAAACCACTTGCCCCTCACCTCTGTGGGTTCGAATCCCGACAGGAACTTTGGATACTTCATGTGAGGAAGCTATCCAGCTAGCTTACGGAACGTCGGTGGTTCTACTCAGGTACCCGTTCGTGCCTGAAATAATGCACGGAAGGGCACCTGAGGTCTTCCTCCACCAGTAAAGCTGGAACGTCGCGATATGACCTATACTGTGTCGATGTGAGGTAAAACCCAAAACAAAAAAAAAACAAAAAATCAGTAGTAATCTATAAGTTTTAGATATGTGTCTTCACTGCAGCAATTATTCATCACTGTCGCTAATACGGTGTGTGAACCAGTTAGGCTGTTTTAGTGCGCTAATTTAATAATATTCTTAGAATTGCATATTCTATCGGTTAAAAAGGTGGCTAACTAAATTTATCAATATTCATCCCCGTCAATGTTTCTAGTAAGGCAGATCACTAATATGTACCTATTCGACGTTTCAATGTTTGTGAGGAAAAAAGAGAAAAGAAATTAAGGACAAAGTTTTCAATATTTCTTTCTATTTTTCACCTCAGATTCAAGACAAAATGAGTTGCGACATTAAAAAGTATGATAGTTACCTTGTGGGTTCAAGAGTCGAAGTAGTAACAGCGACTGTTGTGATCAGCAGAAATCTTTGAAAAAACATCATGCCTGTAGGTCACACTGTAAAAGAAAATAGTTTAACCTAGTTATTATGTTACTTGTAAAAATCTGGAGCATGGAAGATACCGAAGAAACACTGATTACAACGAAAGGATATGTAAATAGCATACTCGGTATGATTAAGTCTGTTCATGAGAGAAAGTGTAAAAGTGCAACATCTCTCTCGCTCCTTAGCACCCGTCTATAGCGAAATTCAATCTTCAACATAAAGTACTGAAATCAATTATACCGTAGGAACAAAGAATACTGTATGTGTTTTTAAATTCGCGGAAGCAAATTTTCGCGGAAAGGTCCATTTTTGGGGTATATACAAATATTTGCGCTATTTTGAATTCGCGGAGGTAACTGCCGTAAATCATAAATTCGCGCACACCTATCAGGTTAAAAATAATGGAAATTACTCTTACACGATTAGGTTATGGTTTATGGTTTTCGCAAGCAGCCTTCTTTTATTTTACATACTTTTTACTGTAATCATTGTGGGACTTCACAGTTATTTTCAAATACCTGGTGTCAAACAATACGCTATTGTTCAGAAAAAAAGACATTCAATTTGTTTATCGGACAGATTATGGCAAACAAAAAGATTTTTCACAGTTTTAAACAGCACTGAATGAGACCATAATATTTTCACCAATTGTGTTAAAATGTTGACTGAGTAACTGTGTTTTGTTTTCCATGTTTTCATCTGTTGGAATCGTTAATTTTTGTGTTATCTGGATTGTTTGTTTAGAAAATACAAAATATAATCTGATCAGATGTCAAGACGTTTATGACTCAGACTATGAAATAAATAGCGTGATGCAATAGTATTGTTCAAACATGTATTTACTTATACAAGAATCCGATTATCAAATCGAAGTCAAACAATATTACACTAGCAAATTGATTTAT